TACCTGAAGGCCCTGATGATACAATACAATTTATGTCTTCGTCTCAAGTGGGCCATTAACATTTCTGAGGATCTCTTGTAGCATTCTAACTGATTTTGATAAGATTCTGCTCATCCCAAGATTTACCCTCTGGGAGCAAGAAACTTAGAAATACAGAGGGATGGGAGAAGAAAGAAACAAATCTTGCTTAACCAATCTTACCTTGGTTTTCATTTCAACAAAATTCAAACTGTTAGTCAACAGTCTTAGCTGTTGACTTAACGAGGGCATCACATACTCAAGTACCAGGCAGATAATGTCATTGAGACAGGTAATGTCACAGGCTGGATGTCACAAATACAATAAGAGTACATTCATTAAAAAAAAATCTTAATTTCTACACATACACGCAAAATCCTCTCCCCTTTTTACTTGAATCATATGGCTCTCTCTGCATTCCATTGACCACTTTTGATAAAGTGTGTAAAGAAATATTTCTCACCTGTAAAGTAAATTACAGCACAAGCACTCTGATAAATGTCAACTGACCCTAAAGCTCAAGGATGGGGAAACGAAACACAGTGAAATGAATTATGGTGAGCACACATCACACGAAGTGGGCAAGAAGTCCCTACTTAGCCACAGCTGATTGTTGCCATGTGGACACGTGCTCCAAGTTTGGCCAAATTTTTCTAGTTTTCAAAAGAAACTGGAAATTAGAATTAGGACTTGTCAGTGAAATCTCATTATTTTAAAATAATTTTTCCCTGATTGGTGTGGCTTAGTGGCTTGAGCACCAGCCTGTGAACTAAAGAGTTGCTGGTTCGATTCTCCAGCAGGACACATACCTGGGCTGTGGGCCAGGTCCTCCACTGGGGGCATGTGAGAGGCAACCAGTCGATGTATCTCTCTCACATCGATGTTTCCCTCCCTTTCTTTTCCCCTCCCTTCCCATCTCTCTAAAAGTAAATAAATAAAATTTTAAAAAAATAAAATAAAATATTTTAAGAACTCATTGATCAAATAAAACTTATCTTAGGCCACAGTTTATCATACATGATTTATGTTTACTATTCTTTTTTATGCACTAGTAAAAAGTTAACCTTTTAATCAGAGAGGCTTTTATTATGTTTGAAGTTTTCATTTAATGTAAAAAAACCTATTAGAAAAGAACATATTGAAATTAAAACTTCACAATAATAAGAATACAGTGATTCTTTATCTAATATTTTGGGAATAAGATAATCCACTTCTATAAACTTCATAGTTTACCAGAGCCTAAGATATTAAACCCCAAGTTTTTCCTATCATCAGTAATTATTCCATTTTGAAAATATATCTAAAATATTCGTTGTATGCCTGTTACTCCTCTGGTGTCCCCCATCTAGGGAATCAGCACTTATATCCACTCAGCTGTCCATGCCAAAATTCTGAATCATAATTGATACCCTCTCCTTACCTCATTTGATAAATCACAAGTTCTGACAGTTCAGTTTACTACAGACACCTCAGATTCTTTCCCTGACATGGTCCTGCCTCTCCTCTGAGCCACTATCACCTCTTGCCTGGACTCCCCAGTAGCTTCCTACACAGGGTGCCAGAGCTAGCAAAAAAAAATATGGGATGCCCAGTTAAATTTGAATTTCAGATAAATAACTAATTGTTTTCATATAAGTCCAAAATATTGAACAGAATATACTTATACTAAAAATATTATTTGAAATTCACATTTCACTGGGTGTTCTGAGCTTTATCTGGCAACTGAACTCTTCCCAATCACTCGTCAACTACTTGGGTCCCTTTCTGTACATTTTCCACACCACAGTTACAATGATTCTTAACATTTCTGTCTGATTGTGTCTCTTTTCTGTTTTTATAAAATTCTTTGTTATCTTTAAGATTAAGTTCTTTATTCTTAATCTGGCCTTGAAGGCCCTGCCAGTCTCTTCAGCTCCACCTTATTGCACCTCCAACTCCTCTTGGCTTAGATTAGAGCTTTCAACATGCCAGGCCTGCCTAGAATGCACTTTCATTCCCACCCTCTCATCTTTTGTCCTCAAGCCTAGGTGTCAGCATCACCTCCTCCAAGAAGCACACCCTGATCTCCAGGCTAGGTCAGTTCCCCTCACAATACTAACTCAATTCTTATTGTCCCTCTAGGGTGTAAATTCCAGGAGAGCAGGAACTGTGTCTTCTCTGAGGTCATCCCTGCAGGTACCTCAGTTACTACCAGGTAGACTCAGTACCAGGGAAAATGTCCAGCAGAGAGTGTTCCTTGGTAAATGATGAATAAATAAACACTAAACGTTACTTGAATTTTTCTCAAAGATTGAGTTCACGACTATACGACCCATTATCCTATTGCACTTGGAGATACTGGTGCTTCCACTGTATCTTTCTGCTCTTGCCTCTACACCATTAACCCCAAGACAGTTATACTTTTTAAAACAGTTTGACTTCTTTAAAAAAATTTTATTTAAGATTTTATGTATTTATTTTTAGAGAGAAGGGAAGGGCGGGAGAAAGAAAAGGAGAGAAAGATTGACTATGTGAGAGATACACAATCAGTTGCCTCTCCCATGCCCTCATCTGGGGACCTGGCCTGCAACCCAGGCATGTGCCCGGACTTGGAATTCAACCAGTGACTTTTGGTTGGCAGGCGGGCACTCAATCCTCTGGGCCACCCCAGCCAGGGAAAAAATTTTTTTTTCTCTCCTTTTTCCTCAGGATGATCTGTTAGTCACTTCTTGCTTGCAGAAGACATCAAGGAAGCTCCTAATTTTTAAATCTTTTCTGATCTGGTATGGACTAAGAAGCCAGAGAACAGAGTTTCTCAGAATTATATTTATCATATTTTAAAAGAGGGACTGAGGGGTTCTGTCATGGGTTTCTGACAGTTTTCTTTTTGTTGTTGTCTTGGTTTTTCTGGATCTTTTAGGTTGGCAGATGTAAGATTTCTAAATAAATGAAATGCCACTGTCAATTTTTCCCATGGTTCAGATACTGATAGTTTAACATAATTTCTACTAATTTCATACTGGTAGATTAATCTTGATGTGCATATTTAATCAAGTCATTCTGCTAAAAAGCTTCATTGCGTACAGAAAAAAGTCAAATACTATATTCTTTTCTTAACTATTCTAACACTTAAAATGCCCTATGAACTATTTCATTTAAATTCCTATTATCTCTATAAGGTACCACTATAGTTGTATTAGATTGCATTCACATGTATTTTGTTCAGGTTAAACCATACTGGCTCAGGAGACAGAGTGAGCAAGAGTGAGTTCTCCAGAGAGAGGACTTCGACAGTATTTCTTACATCCTTGAGGCACTCTAATAGGAACATAAAATAGAAAAAAGACAGAAAAAAATGAAAAGTAAGTTGCACTACAACAAAACGTACTACAACAAAGCATAGAAGCACAGGTTCTAGCGCCAGGACTAGGGGCCAGGACTAGGAGAGTAAGGTCCTTGCCTTGTGTGCAAAATTAAGAGCAAGCCAAGAACTCACTAAACAAGATAAATAATACTTTAATGCAATATTTAAAAAATCAAAATTAATGTGAAAAGACAAAATATCAACATTTTATTTTTTAAAATTATTTTTAAAGATTTTATTTATTTATTTTTAGAGAGGACAAGGGAGGGAGAAAAAGAGGGAAAGAAACATCCATGTGTGATTGCCTCTCCTGCGCCCCCTACTGGGGGCCTGGACTGCAATCCAGGCCTGTGCTTTGACTGGGAATGGAATCAGGCACCCTTCAGTTTGCAGACCGGCACTCAATCCACTGAGCCACAAGACCCAGGGCAAAATATCAAAATTTTAAACAAAGAATTTGACCTTACATTTGCAGGACTCATCTCTCCCTAATCCCAACCCTGTCCAAATCTCCATTCTGTCATTTACTGGTTGTATAATATTAGAAAGTTATTTAACTTCTTTACACCTCAGTTTCTTCATCCGTAGAGAAAATTAATGCTATCTACCTCAGAAGGTGGTTGTGAGGATTAGATGACCCAGTTCACAGTAGATGCTAAGTAAATGTTGGCCATCATTATTGTGGAAACAAACATCTTAAAGGAGTCCTGTTGAAAGATGGTTTTATATCTGTGACCATGCTTGAAAAGACCTTGGAACTTTACAAGTGTATTGCATAACTGCCATAATCTTTGCCGTGTATGTATAACATGTATCAACTTCTCCTAAGGAAGGATTAAAAGAATTGACTGAGAAGCGGAAACACTTTACACAGGAGTGAAGGTAATCCCTTTTGCAAGTCTGTTTCTAGCATTTGATGATCCAGTTGAGAGCATATTTTGAGTATATCCTGAAACAGGTTCTCAAGATAACTCAAAAAATGCTATGAATGACGGCAGCACTGGGTAAGTGTATTGTTTCACAGGGTGGCTAGATTTAAGACAAAAATCATATTAACTAGGATAGATTGAAGAAAAACAAATCTCTTATGTGTAAGAGGCACCGAGGTTAGGCCCTCCTAGAAATCACCCGGTGCCAAAGAAATAACTGACCGTTCCTGTTTCTATCATAACTTTTTTTTTTCTTAGTGGTTTACATGTTTATCTCCCCAACTTCGATCCCTGGGAACGGTGGCCAAGTCTAGTTAATTTCTGAATGACACCAAGCACTATGCTAGGCACGGGACACTAAACACATAATTAACTAATAAATAAAATTTGGCTTAGGTACATTTAGCCTAAGAGCTTCCCATTTCGAGCAATATGGTTAGAAAGCCTGACGGGAAAGGAACCCTGTGAACTATAATTTCCCAATTATTGTAAAAGCAGGAAGGAGTGTGCGCGCCCAAGTATTCAGGACGGTACTACGAGGCTTGAGCCAGAGTCCTTGCAGGGACCAGTCCTCGCTGGTTCCCTGCCGCGCACGCGCAGACCGGAAGGGAGTTCGCCTGCCCTCGCCCCTCCGCCCTCCAGGTGGCGCTGGCGGACCCATCTCTGCCACCTCCACCGCCTTTGGCCGGGCCAGGCCCGGGCGGCACTAGCCGCCGAGCCGGCTGCAGGTCCGCCTCCGCCGCGCCGAGGGCGTGGGCTCCCGGCTCCCGGAAGAGGCGGCCGCGGCGTGGAGCCGAGCGGGCGTCGATCCCCGAAGCGGCAATGCGCGGTGGCCGGAGGCTGTGACTTGAGCGCGGCGGCCCGGTTGGGGCCGCTGATTGGCGCCTCGTTGAGGCGGTGGCTCTGGCTCTGGCTCCTCCAGGCGTAGCGTGGCGGCGGCCGAGGTGATGCTGCTCAAGCTCCTGCAGAGACAGACCTATACCTGCCTGTCCCACAGGTATGGGCTCTACGTCTGTTTCGTGGGCGTCGTTGTCACCATCGTCTCCGCTTTCCAGTTCGGAGAGGTGAGTAGCGGCGCGCGATCTCCGACCAGGGGACTTTGAACCCGCAAGACCCCGCGGCCCCCGTCCCCCTGCAGCCCTAGAGTGGCGCCGAGCCCGGGGGCGCCCCAAGCCCTAGCGCGCTTGACTCCTGCCCCCGCCCCCCCATCCTCCCAGCCGCTCCAGCGAAAAGTCCCAGCGCCTGCCCTTTCCCAGGAGGCGCGGAGGACTCCGATCGGGTTTCAGCATCTGGGTTGATGGGTTTCGTTCTTTGGGCAGTTTGGGGTGGGGGGGATAGGCTCTCGTTCTACTGATTCCCTTTCCCACCAGGTGCATTCTTCAGGGTCCCCAGGACTTTCAACTTTATCCTGCAGGCCTTATCCTTCATGAAGCCCCCTCCCGGGACTCAGAGTTGTTGTCTTCCCATTCCTAAATTCTCGTCCCTTGCCCCTCCTAGAGTTTTCCTCCTCGGATTGTCACCCTTCTAATCTTTTCACCTTTGACAAAGGCACTTTAATCTTTTTAATATAGGTTCTCCCAAGGGCATGCGTGTTTTTGCTCGTCAATTTGCAATGGGGAGAGTGTACTGTCCCAAAATTGAAAGGACTTATGTGTGCAAGGGGACGTTTTTGCACTTAGGCTGTCATTGGAGACAACTATACATCAGCAGTTAGCCCTACTGGCAGGTAGAGAGATCTCTTGCCAGCTCCAAACACCTGTTTCCCTGTCCCGAGATCACCTGAAGTTTTGGGCCACTTCACGTGACCAGGACACCTTAATGATCTTGGACTACAGCACCTAACCTCTTTGGAGCCAGTGCAAGCCCTTGGGTCATGGGATAGGCTAATAATTTAGACTCCAGATCACATGAGCCCGGCTTTTTTGGATCTGCTCGTGGTTAATGTGCAATAAAGTAGTTGGGTCAGACTGTAAATTCCTCAGAGGGTCCAAGCAACAGGTTTGGGAGGTGGAAACACCCAAGTTTAATAGATTTTTGTATGCTTCTGGATATACACTTGAAACATTTTCGCGACTGAAACAACCCTTTTGTTTAGGTTGGATAGTTTATTATTGATGGTCTAATACAGTATTCTTTATCATAAACAGGTGTACCGTAACTATAGAGTACATATATGTGATTTTAGAGAACACCACTTTTAAAAGTGTCTCTATAGCAACTAGGAGAAAAATCGTATTTGCAAGTTGTTAGAAATCTCTCTCTATGTGCACATATATAAGTGGATACAGTAGTAAATTGAAAAAGTTTTTAAAATTAGCACAATGGTTTTTAGAAATGCCACAGTATACTTTTGTTTGAAATCAATACCCATACTGGATTGTAAGCTCTATAAGACAGGGTGCTGTCTACTGTTTAATTACTGTAACCCCAGAACAAGCACTGTGCCGGAGTATGCAGTCTAAATATTTGTTGAATGAATGAATGGATGAATTATGTGGCATGATCTCCAAGTGTACACTTTAGGTAGTTTTTGGTTTAGAGGCTAATAAAAATAAATGTTATAAGTAAGGGTGAGAAAGTGCCCCAGACTTGTAAGTGTGGAATGTGTAACGTACCACCTGCAGTTCTGCATTTGTTTCATGTGTTGCAACTTAATATAGTGAACGTATCTATGCATAGTTGTGTCTAATTGCTGATAAGGTTATTTTGGGCCTGAGTAATCTAAATTAACTGTTTATTAACAACTCTACAGCATGAAAGTGACTTAAAGGCATCAGTTGTTAGAAGTTTTTATTTTGTATGTCGATGCCTGGTTATTTACCAAAAGACAGACTTCTGTCAGTCTTGAAATGACTACAGACTTTAAAGCTGGGAACAGGCAAAAGAAATGAGAGGCAGAGAACATCAACAGGTGGGTACAGCTGGCTCAGTATCACTTGTCCAGCGCAGTAGAAAAGAAGAACTGCCAGATTAGGCAGATCTGGTTTTGAATGCTGGTACCAGTATTGATCATGATGATAGTTAATACATAGAGATTGCCAGGTTCCAGGCCCTCTCTTAACTGCTTTACATGCATTCACTCATTTAATCCTTACATCACCCCTGTGGGATAGGTACTATTATTATACCCATTTTACAGATGATGAAACTAATACACTTGTACAAGTTAATCCAGCCAGTTCATGGCAGAGCTGGGCCTCAAGCCAAAGCAGTATATGGGTCTAGAGCTGTTGTCTTAAGCACATTTCTTGGTCTCTCAAATAGCCCAGGCTATCCTTTGAATGATCTTGGAAAGGATACTTAACCTCTCTGAACCTCAGGTTCCTCATCTTTAAAATGGAGGCAAGAATACTTTCCTTGCTGGTTTGATACTGGGGACTAAGTAAGACATGTACGAAAAGTACCACATGCAGTTCCTGGCACATAACAGGCTCTCATGAAATGGTAATAAATACTGCTACTACTATTATTATTATTATTATCAATGTCTGTTTTTTGTCTTTAATCCTTATTTTGAAATAAACTCTTGACACTGTCATCATACAGTTAATATTACCAACTTGTTAATAATGTCACTAATTATAATGAAGTTATAATTATTCACTAAGGATAAAAGAACTATCCTTTTATTTATCATTGTTAACTGTGAGTTCACAGTATATTTTTTCCTTCCCTCTTAGAGTAAGTGGTATTGGTGCTAACTTTTGATAAGCTATTTGTATACTTACCCAAATTTTGAGTCAAAAAAGTGGAATTGAGGTAGGGAAGTATTTTTGGAAATATTCCTAAGTATTTTCTGGAGAACGCTTGGGAACTCTGATCAAGCAAAAACAGAGTTGGATTTAAATCCACGGGGGTTGGGGGGGTCCTAATGTGGTGTAGTGCACACTGAAGTTCATTGCCTTGGGGTGAGGGTAGCAGGTGAGATCTGGTCCACGGTACACTAGTTGCCTTGGGCAAGTCAAGCGCCCCCTGGAAGTCCAGTTTCCTCATCGACAAATAGGAGCACTAGCTTAACTAGGCTTTCTTTTTAGCTTAGAAAGTCCCGATTTTCAATTTTTGTCCTTTCTCAGTTGATATTGTATAGACTTTAAAACATGCTTTTGAAGTAAAAGTTATATCAGGGCCGTCATTACCTAGTTGAATTATTTATATACATTATTTATATACAAATCCACAATCCCTTATCTGAAACTTCTAGAACTACCAAATTACCTTATAACTAAACATCAGTATCTTTTACAGTGGAACGTCTGACTGTTCACACACAGTGAGGAAAATAAAGACTATAAATAACTTCAAGTCAGTTCAGGCCAAGTTTTGCTACCAAATAAGTTCAGGTGAGGTCAAGTTTCGCTGCCAAGTAAGACACAAAGAGATCTCCACTGTTGAGAGCTTTTTGGATTTCAGAATTCTGAATAGAGGGTTGTAGATCACTGCTGGGTGTGTGTGTGTGTATCTGTGTGTATCTGTGTGTTTGGTGTGTGTGCGTAAAATACATCACCTCCTTATGTGCACTAAGTATGGGAACAAATATCCAGACATTAACTTCCACGAGGTAGTCAGATAGGTGATAGGTTCACACAGAATCTGCCCACAGCGGGTAGTAACTATCCCTGGCCTCCCTGGTCCCTTGTGCTCACGCACTTCCTACCGCGATTCCATATTAATGAGAGTATTGTTCGGTGAGAAGGAAGATCCAGCTCAAATGGAAAACTGGATCCAGCTCAAGTTATGTTCAGCCTTGCTGATCAGTTGTTTCAAGAAAGAGAGTTGTTATTACATTTGTATTTGAGTAGTTCACTCATTGCACAAATATATTTTAAGTGTGTTCTTTGCCAAAGGCAGGAAATGGGTGAAGTTGAAAGACACCTGGCCCCAGAGTCGGGTGAGAGCCCCTGGCCTGGTTCTGGCCCCACCATCACTGTGCTCTTTGGTGGTTCTCAAACGGTGTCACTCCAGCTGCCTGCTGGGTTGGAGCAGCTACTCTTAACTCTTTTGTGTAGGTTTCTTTTGGGGGAGGGGAAAGCTTTCATTGTTAAACATAATACTTAAAGCTTCTAGACAAGACTCCCTTTTTAGCTTTAATGTTTTGTGAATATGCATTTATTGGGTGCTCCACATGAGAAAGCATGTAATGTAATGGACGTTGTGCTTTGCTTCAGAGAAAAGGCCAGTGACCCTTTCATAACATGAAATGGTCTCTCTCTTTGGAGGGGTTTGGGAGAGAGACACAGCACAGCTAGCTGTCAAAGCAGGGGCCTTGTCTTATTCCCTGAGGTATTCTTAGCACTCAAATGAATGAATGGAGGTGACTTTAACCAACATCACTTCAAGCTCATTTCCAGTGAAAGTGTAAGTTTTCTACTTTGATGCAGACCATCTGTACTTACCTTTTCATTCTCATAAATGATTGGTCTGGTTGTACTTCATAGGGTGGCAGGTGCCATCAAAGATACAAAGAATTTTAGCTCATCCCTGATCATCTTGGTATAGTTGCGATGAGGCCATGAGGATGGAGGAACAACAAAGGGAGTGGGAAATTGAATGCCTGAGTAGGTACCCAGTAATCACTTAGAAAATCAGAGGAAGGGAAGAAAATTATGGGTTGAAACATTGTAGAGGAAGTTGAGACTTTTACAAGGAGACAGGAGCTTTTTCTTTTCGAATTATTAGTGGTTTAAAATTGCTGCTGGTATTAGTCAGCAGCACTTGATTGCAACAGAATCCCAACTCACATGTGGCTTAAGAGAAAATGTAGTTTTTTGACTGGTGCATTTGAAGAATTCTAGGGTGAAACTCTGGCAAGGTTGGATAGAGTTGCCAGATGATATCATCAGGAATCTCTTTTCGTCCCAGCTCTTGCCCTCTGTTGGTTAGTTGTCAGGCAAGCTCTTCCCATATGGAATCAAAGATTGCTGTCAGCAACTCCAGCTTGTGAACTACCATTTTAGTAAGCCCAGCAAACAGACAGCTTTTCTTTCTCACAGTGCAAGCTGGACCCAGGTGGCCTGCCCAGCCAGGGAATGAGTGCTCTTATTGTGCCTTCAGTAACCACCTGGAT